GTGGGTAGTAGTATAAACAAATAACAGCATGATTTGTACGTGATATTTAGCATCAATACCACTAGTGATATTTCAAAATTGTCTCAAATTTCACTCGCCTAACGGCTCGTGAAATTTTGTATAACAATTTTGAAATATCACTTGTGGTATTTATGCCAAATATCACTACAAATCATGCTATTACCTATACAAATTGGTTGCTAACAACAACTTTAATGCAACACCTCGGTCTCCGACTTTGTGTCGGCACCTGGAGACCCTGTATCTGTTTATAGGAAAGTTTCAAACTCTACAGGACATCTACTCTTATTTATAATGCCTCGTGTCGACTCGTCTAGCTAGCTATCATCTTAGCAACGAAACTTGTTATAAACCTAAGATTAATAACTCTGCGTTTTAAACACTCTTTTATTAACCGTTAAGTTTTTAAATACGAATTAGCTTTGTAATCTGCTAGATTTTAATTGTTAATTTTTACCTTTTTATACTTTCTACTAGATGTAAAATTTCTGAATTAAATACACTTGTAACAAAAGATAAGTATTTTTGTGTTTTGACCGAATGAAGACTTAATTATTACTTTATTATTATACGGAGATCGGCGTACATGCACCAGTGCTGGGTTATGTGTTGAAGTTCTTGTGGTGATGTGTTTGTTGTGTAATCAGGTCTGGCCCTCAGGAAAGTAGCTCGATTGGTTCTCAGGACAACTTGGAGAGGTCATCGTTATCGACAATGGAGGACAGCACTCCTGTTATTGTAAGTTAATGGTGCACATATGTTATTAAAATTTGTTAGCGTCGTTTGTCACACGGAGACAAGAGCAGGCTATCAACGTCTTCACTTGAGTTCAGACTGTATGACTCCAAAATTTGGCTCGTAGTCTGAGCACTATTGCTTTTTTGGTAGCGATGTAGTGACAGACAGTGAAGGCATACAGGCAGCATTATCAGAAACAACGTACTTTATTTAGGTGTCAATGTATTTAGCCCGCAAGTACTAAATGACGACCCGGTTTTTACTATTTCTACGTGGTCATCCTAGATAAGCAAAGGTCCAGCTGTTTGCAAGGCAAAGGCAGTACACCCTATCTCAGTTTTTTTAAGCCCACGTGTATTGCTCCTGTCCCGGGAATTGAACCCACGACCTCCCCCTCTCCACACCAACAGGTTACTGACAAAGCTAAACTTACCGCGGTAAATGCAGAATTGTGACACTTATCACACTTTTTTGTGGCCATCCTCAAACGACTCCGACGTGTTGGTCCAAACTTATCCAACAAGAACGCTGAATCTTTCGTTCCGATCGTCTCTCCCTATCTGACCACAGGTTAAGGTTTCTTATAAGGCCAAACAATCAAGGGTTTAAAACCATGCGTTTGTGTCTCTTGAACCCAGACTAACTCAATCTATTGCCATTGCCAGGATGAAAGGCTGCTGATTGTACTAAACAACTGTCGCTATGTGCGGAACAATGTTCTCTCCAAGCTAGTTGACTGCTTTAGAAGTAATGACTACCCTGTCAGTGACAAGCTCAAGAAGGTAACACACCTATCAGAACTTTATTAATATGAAGTAAATAAAAAGGTTACTAAACGATTTGAAGCGTTCATTGATGAATGACTTGGCGCTGTGTCATCAGTAATTTCATCTTTTCTTTCAATTGTGACTCAACGCCTTTATATAGGTACAGAAAAAACCAATGCTGTCTGTTCTATTGTCTTCAGGATCTTACAAGTGAGTTAAACGATTTAGAAGGGAAGATTTTTGATGCATACATTGAACAGAAAGCCGACCCACTGATAGCATATGTGGAGCCTGGGATGACGATATGCGACTTTAAATGGCACAACTGCCTTCCACCAAAAGGTAAACATTTGTTAGCGGCAATTTTATTTTGGTCAGGTAGGTTGTCTTGTGCTAATGATCCGATTCTGGCAGTGTTTTCTTACGTTTTCAGGGAGGTTCTTATACTTCTCTGTGAGTTTGCGCTACTGAGATGAATTTTTTTTGTATCCTATTGCAGATGTTCGTAGCTATGTGAAGGAGGTTCTAATGAACCTTGTTACTGTGCATGCGCAGGTAAGTATGATCAGTGGCGGATCACGGGGAGGTCAAGCCAGGTCATAGCTAGCCTGTTCCAGGCGTTTAGATAGTGGGGAGCGATGCGAAGTAAAAAGTAGCGCACCGCTCTCCACTATCTGAACGCTTGGAACAGGCTAGGTCATAGCATTCATACTAAATAGTGATAAGCATTTCCAGCTCTTTAATTAGCGAACTCAGAAGTAATATTTGCAAAATTTTCGACACGTTGGCTCTTATGGGCTCTTGACGTAAGACGTTTTCTTAACAATGCGAATTTCCCTCTATAATCGACGACGTATTTCTGTAATAAGCGTTATATTCATTCAGTTATAAACTGCTTTAATTTTCCTGGTGTTGTTTTGATAGTTGTTGTCCTTTATTTTTCACGTTTTCTGACACAGATGTCACATAATATTCGTCCAGGTTTTGTTGACTGCTCACACAATTCTTGGGTTGCACGTGACGTCACCAAAAATCAAAATAAGAAACTATTGATTCTTCTGAGTTTCTACTTTCACGAGGTATTACAGTACCTAAACACCTTTACATAAACAAATTTTTGTTTCGAAAGGGTTCTTCGTTTTGCGAGAGAGGACACTTGAATTTCCAGGCTTTTGCGTGACGCGGCATTTAGCTAGCGGCCGGGAAAGCTCTTATGTGGGTTAAAAACATTACCGATTTTTGAAGATTTTGCAATCTAAACATTCCTTGTCTCAGAATAAATATTTCTGTAATCTTTATGAGTTCCTCAAGCGAAGAGTTCACGCATTAGTAGGAAAACTCGAAAACAGATGTTTCTGTTGGTATCCGGCGGCCATATTGGTGTTCCTGAAAGGGACACCAACATGGCGTTACCATACAAAGCTTTATAAATTTAGGTAAACCGTTTTTCCCAATATCTCGCATTTGAAATATTTCACAGACCTGATTCTTGGCAAGGGTTTCTGTATTTTTATCTTTTTTCATTTCCCAGATTCTAGTCCTTCTGTATTGAATGGTTTGCATTTTTATTTTTCATTGCGTGACAGTGCAAGCCGAGACGGATGTAAGACTTAAGAGCTTAAGAGTAGTGACAGTGTGGCCGAGGGCATCCCGGGTTCAAGACCCACTTTGACCACTTGATAGCGTTGTACCTCGCTAGCCGTTACTGTAACCTAGCAACTACAAATTGAGCTTTTAACCAGGCTGTCTTATTTGCTCAGCTCTACTTACCTTCCGTCATTTTCTTGTGCCTGTAAAATTAACAGGAGTGAATAAACCTTCCTTATTTATTAACTTATTTAATATTAAGTCGCTGCTGGACCCTTTCTCCCTACGGATTCTGGGATGCCAACATGTTTGCCGCCGGTAGTTAAAGGCGTTAATAATTTACCAACTGTGGGTGTGGTATCATCGTTCTACCCGCTAGCTGGGCTGTTTCTTCAGGTTAAGAGACGGTCTACCTGCATTTGCGGCCATGGGTCGGGAAAATTTCCCCCTACCCGTACACCGAAATGCTGTATTTTAGGTCAGGGACAAACGTCGAACTTGGCAGTTAGCATTAGGCTCGTCTCATGTGATTTTTGACGTCTGACCAGGGCCTTACAGGTCTCTGTTAATACTACTATTTTGTGGGCAGGTGTTTGCTGTCTCAGAGGAGCTACTGACTCAGGTGCTGTGCCGACTGACTGACATGTTAGCGGATGAGTTTTGCAGACTCGTATCTGCGGTCAAAACGTTTACTTCAGCTGGTGCTGTCACGGTGCGTTTACAAAAACATTTTATTGATAGCTCCTTTATTCTCGCACAAGTAGGCTTTGCAGAGAAAAAAATCCTTTATTGTGGAGTAAGAGGGATGAGATGGTATTCGTTTGCTCCGTTTTAAAAAGGTTCTTTGACAAAGATCCAATCAAAAGGATGACCTAAAAACAGGATTTTGTTATTTCTAAGGCCGTGTTCCGAAGAGTTATAAGATACTTGGAGTTAATATGGATATATCACAATCGTGGCTAACGCTGGCCCATCGTTCGGGTCTATGAAGCATTCTAGGAAGGACTCGTATTAATGTAATCGTTGTATTCCTATTACTATATTTGCAGACCAATCGAATGTTCTCTAAATATTTTGCTCACCGTCCGATTTTTGTTTTAGGCACACTTGGAAGCACGAGCTTTACAAGAAGCATTGGCTGCCTATCTCACACAACACTCCAGGTACTGCAGCTGTATTATTTGGCGATTTTTAAAGTAGCTTTTGATATAGCCTGCTCTTGTCTTAATATCCAATTAACACCTCAACTCCCGTGTGAAACCCGAAAAAGGAAATACAAACAAACACCTATTGCCATCGCGTTCTGACTGGAGGCCGCACGAGTTATTGTAATCAAGGTGGTAACAAATAAAGCTCGGTTAACATTTGTAAAAAATGACAAGAACGAAAAGGGGAGAACTAACGGGCACTCATAGGATGAAAAAACCTCTCCGTGCTGGCAACGGCAAAACAAAGGAAACGTTCCGGCCCTATGAATAATCTCCCAGGACCTGCATGGCTCGGTCTTAACAAATTACGGAAAGGATTAAAGAGACCGCTAAACGCGATTGAATACTGTTCTTAACATAATCGTCTTTTGCTTTCTCAATCACCCAACGGCAGTAACACTTAAAAAGTCTGTCCTGAATACTTACATTAGCAGCAGCCGTTGCTCCTTCGGCTCGGAGACTATGAGTATCAATGTTAGAAACGTCAGTAAAATATCTGGCTCTTACACAGCTAATCCCTTGGCGTCGGACCTTTTCTTTCGAGAGAAGAGACGCGAGGGCTCGGCTTGTGATGCTGCCCTGCTCTCTGCGGGTGACATGTCCGATCCATCTCCATCGCCTTCGCATGATGATGGTCTCCATGCTCTCTTGGTTGCAGCGGGCGAGAAGTTGTTGGTTGGAGATAGTCTCAGGCTAGAAAATACACAGGATCCTTCTGAGGTTCTTTGTATGGAAGGTGGACAACTTGTTCAGGTCACACTCCGTCATCCTCCAGAATTTCGAGCCGTACAGTAGAGTGGAAAGCACACAGCTCTGGCACAGTCTTAGTTTGGTCTTGGTGCTGTACTGGGATGACTTCCAAACGTTGTTCATCATTCTACATGCGTTTCTGGCCTTGCTGAGGCGATTCTTGTTGTCCTTTGCCTGCTCCGCCATCATGTCTGACAATGCTGGCAAGGTAAGTGAACTCCTCGGTTGTTGGAATGTCTTCTCCGTTCACTTTGACTGGTGCGGGATGTTGTACATTCAGCGTCATGACTTCTGTCTTCCTCTGGCTGATCTTCAGGCTTACTTACTGGGAAAAAGTGCTAAGACGGGACGTCTTCTCTTGCATGTGCTGGTGGGTGTGTGAGACCAGTGCGAGATCGTCAGCGAAGTCCAGATCTTCAAGCGTTGACAAGAGGGTCCATCTGATGTCACGTGCTTGGTTTTCTGTTGTTCGCCGCATCACCCAGCCGATAACGATGTTGAAAAACAGCGCGGACATTGAACAGCCTTGCCTGACACCGGTCTTGACTTCAAAACTGGACTTGCTGTTCCCCACGTGAAGTTGTCGTAGAAGCTCTGGATGAATTGGACAATCTGCTGTGGGATCCCGTATGCCATGAGGATGCGCCAAAGACCATCTCGGTGGACGCTATCAAAGGCTTTTTCAAATCTACAAAGTCGATGTGCAGCTGTCTCTGTCATTCTGTACACTGCTCAATGATGTTTTTGAGGGTGAGTGGTCTATGAATCCTCTTCCTTTTCGAAAACCCCCTTGCTCGTTTCTCAATCGCTGATCTACTCCCTCTGAAATTCGCTATCCAGTCTTCTGGTAGCTGTTTCTACTCTCATATGGCTGCAAAGAGGGGCTGAAGAACTTGTGCTGCAAACTCCGGATCTGCCTTAAATAGCTCTGCGCTAAGGCTGTCCTGACCCGGGGCTTTTCCGTTCTTGAGGGATCTGATGGCTGCCATAATCTCTTCTTTCTCTGGTGGTGCAGTTTTGAGTTCTAGGTCTTCTCCAGGATCTTGCACGTCTGCGTCCGTTGGAGGTGGTGGTCTGTTTAGAACTTAACTGAAGTGTTCCGCCCATCTAGCTTCTTGTTCTGCTTCTGTGGTAAGAGGTCGCCTTTTCTTGTCCATAATTGGCGAGTCTGTTGTTTCTCGGTAATTGCCGCTGACTAACTTTGTGATCTTGTACACCTTCCCTTGCTGTCCTCTGCTGGCTGCCTCTTCTGCCTAACTTGCTAGGCTTTCCATGTACGCCCGCTTGTCTGCTCTTATTATCCCCTTCATTGTTCGGTCAGCTTCCCTGTATTGTAGCGTGCGTGTCTCTTTCAGCCTCTCCGACTTGGTCTCCTCACGATAGGGTGCTGGTCGTCGTCTCTACCGCTGTTCAGCACTGTTTCTCTGGTGTTGGTTCTGCATCTGCCTGATCCTGTGCATCTGCTCTCGCTGATTCCTATAATGTGTAGATTATAGTGTCTCTTTTCTTCTGTCACTTGTGCCAGCTTTCCTGTCTCATACATGGCTCTCACGTTCCAGAATCCAATTATGGTGTTGGCTTTGGCGCTCAAGACTTCAATCTTCCTGTCAGTGGCCTCCTTCTGGCTTCCCCCATTGTCGTACATACGAGTATGATTCTAGAAGCCCATCACACCCAGTAGCGTCGATTTCTTCTGTTGCCGTTTCCGTAACAGGATTGTTAGTCCTGTGTCCAGCCCCAACCTGGAGGACCAGTAGATCGCGCTTCGTCAGGCCTCTACCCTTCGACCTGTCTCCCGCCAGCATAGCTCTAGGGATCACTGAGACACCGACCGCGACAAGGTGGCGATCCTTGAGTTGCACCACTCCCTAAATACTCTACCAAGTCCCTTGATACTAAATACCGACAAAGTAATACTTTTTCCACTAATTTCTTCAAAACCGCGGAAAAATTAAATTAAATGAAGCTAACGTGGAGGGATTGGCTCTAGTGATACAGTTCTGGCGATATATCACCATTTTATCTTAGTTATTAAAATCAGTTTTGTATCAGTTTTGCACTGACGCACAACCACTAGCCTCCTTTAGTAATCCTGACCGTCGAGTTCAGGCGAATGGGATTCGTGGTCATTTCCAGGGTAACAATTATCTGATAGGGGTTACTTGTCAAGAACTTAACAACTTGCATGTCCAACGAACGATAATTATAACTTTATTAACAAAGTTCTATGGCATTTCTCTGTGTGAAATTTTAGAGAAATGTTCCAAGCCACATTCAGCAAGGTGCCGGCCATAACAAAGGATTCTGATAAAAGGTTAGTGTTTAGAGAAAACTCTTTGGAAAAAATATGTACACTTTTATTTGCACTAAGCCTGCTACACGACTTCACATGAAGCAAACACGTTTTTTGTTACACCATTCAGCTCCTTACTTGCAGAGCTATAGAACCCAGACGCCTTCTTGTTACCATGGTTTCAATTAAAGTATTACCGTGAGTTTTGTGCACTAAGTAACACGAGTTTTTCATAACTGAACCCGGATTAAACAAAAGCTCAGTAAAATCGTTCGAACGGGACCAAAGCGATTATTCATTTTAGAGGGGTCGTTGCTACACGTTTGTCAGTATGTTTTACTAAAACAGCTCCTTTTCAGAGATAGATTTCAAGTGAATTATTGGGGAAGGAAAGAGGTTTTTCTGCGATTTATGAACAGTTTGCCATTAGCAGTTCACCTACGTAAGGATCGTTATGTGCTTCTTCCCTAAATGATTATGCTCTACGAGGAGTGGTTTCTTTTTCCTCAGAGACAGTAGAGCGACCAAAACTGTCTCTCGCGAGGACAGCAGGAGACTCGCAAGCGGGAAAGATCTAAGATGGAACTGACTACAAAAAGAACCTGTCGTTTTACTTTTTTGCATTCTCCTCCCAATGCAGAATTCTTATTAATTAATTAAGATTTCTGTTGTCAACACATAAATCGCTCTTGCTTCACTCAAGGTGGCAAAGTGGGGGTACCTTCCACGCATCACGCATCACGGAAAAAATAACATAATGTAGTTAATATATCTTTTTTTAATTTTTCCGTGATGCGTGATGAACAAGTATATATTATCATTTGATCTGAGGAAATCAGAGGTCGAGAAAGGAGAAAAAAGGGCAAAAAGCTGGTGTCATAACTATCTATTTTTAGCGTCTCTGCTTCTTGTTTCAAATGACATTCACCAGCACAGAAATTTCAAAGGAAAATAGCGTGTCACGCGTTGTGAAAATAGAACTCACGCATCACGCTGCCAGCCCAAATCACGCCTCACGCGACTCATTTGGGCCCGGTCACGCATCACGCGTCACGGAAAACCCCGAGTGGTCATAGTTTACTGTTATTTCTTGGTGGCAATCAAATACAACTATTCATGTTCTCTTATTTTCGAGATAATGTATGACATTGTTACTCTGACTGGATTGCAGGTTGATAGAAGCTTTGATGACAACTTTCAAGCGACGTATGCGTTTTCAGTTACAGTGCTTCCAAGTGGACATGGAGGAACTATAACCCACATAAAATCTACACTGAATTATGGCGAAACAACAAAATATGCAGATATTTCTGTTCTTATTAAAAGCAAATGAATTAGAAATTCAAAGATAAAAAGCTTACTCGCCAAAAACGACGTCATAGGGTAGTGACAAAACTGCTCATCAACTCGTACCTAACTTAACCTTTTCCAAATATACAAGTTTTATTTCTTACTGCTTTATTATCCGTAGTCATGGTTGATTGGATCTCGGTGCAAAGAAACAAAGAAAACGAAAACAGGAGTAAACATTCCCTACTAAACTACCAACAGAGCACCATCATGATTTAAAGACGTAAAAGATTGAAACATTATGCCTTGAAATTCAAAGCGTTAGCTGCTTTCTATTAGTCAAACTGAGTGGCCGTTTGAGGTGGTGAATTGTTTTCTAGCATGTTTAATATTTGCTTCTTGTTCTGTCCAGGCTTATCTACCTTAAGGTGAATAAAGACAAGTTCATCGGGTTCTCTTTTGTGGAACATGGCGGACGCTCGTTCGTTTATTAACGTCTTTAATTCCGGGTTGTTATTTGTAAGTCAAATGTGAGTTTCAATAAACTACAGTTTTGTTTCAGCTTTTACTTGTTGTTGTACTGTCAACTGCTTCCAAGTAGAATTCATCGATCGCTTATACATGGTCACAACAACCAGAGGTTTCCGAATTCCCTGACTTTTCCATGAACTCGAGTAATTTGTTTGACCCGCAGCAACCACGTTGTAAAGGGCGTTATAAATAGCCAATTTTTCATGAAAATGACCCAATTAAAACAATTCGAGTGGTTTCCAATTTCCATTAACTTTTTACAGACGTTTTCAAAGGAAATGAAACCACCATGATGTGAAATTAGATTTCCAAAGCGTTTCGCTCTCGTCCGATTGCCATGAAAGTTACTGTATTTACAACTCCCAAAATTCATCCCAAAGTATTTACCTCCCGGCGACGAGAAGTACGAGCGCAGTCCGCATTCCGTCAGTATGACAAATGCAATGTCAATGTAACACTACACATAACAAATCTTTATGTTTATCTAATACAGCTGAGGTGGACATTTTTTGATGGAGTTCGTAGTTGTGACGCAGTTAATGCTCAAACTTGGACAGGTATTATTCCTAAGAAAAAAGAAGTCGATCAGTCATCACTGGTCACGTGGCGCTAGATTTACACATGGTTTGTTTCTTGTGACATCATACATCATTTTTCTTGGCTGATTTCCTTCCACGGATATTGAAATGCATCAGTTGTTTTCCTATCCTTTCTCCTCCACAACTTTTTTTTCTCCCTGGTTCGTACGTTCTCACACCAGGCACTCAGAGCAAATTTATCTTTCCACTGAATGATGAACTGAAATAAGAGCGAATGATAAACTTAGGATGAAATACTATGCATTAGTAGTGGCAAGATCATCACCGCGATGTTAATCCGAGAAACGTTTCCATTTAAAATAAAATGTTTGTTCAACGAGCCGACAATTCGCAACACACGAACACGATCTCCCTGTTGGTCTTACGACGTAAAGACGTAATAGACCTCTTTAGCTTGTATGTTATGTTTTCCCAATGAACGTCTCAGGGGAATTTGCCACTTTGTCTTTTCATAAATTATGCATACGTATGCACGGGAATTAGACCTTAAACCAATGTGCCCTACAATCACTTCTGGGTAAATACTGGCGATAATATATATTAAGTATTGTTTAAAATACGAGCAGGAGTGAATGATCAGGTTTAAAAACGTCATATGCATGATAATACACGACTGCAAGTTTTTGGAACGGCTTCAAAACCTCTGTCATAGGTCACCTTATTCATGCACTAATATTACGATTTGGAGTTAATTTGGTCTAAAAAATTGGACGTAAAGTTTAGCCATGTCTTTATCAGATATAAAGATACTCATTAAACATTAACATTTCTTTTGTTTTTTCTTTATGAATTATTAATAAGTTTTTGAAGTTGACATCACACATTGGGAAAATCCCAGATAACAACCAATGAACCAGCTGTGCATGTTAAGACCAACTAATAAGAAAAAGCAACTATACTAATAATATGCTGCTTTGTTATCACTCGCCCGCCAATAGGCTTGATCATGATGTACATCCCCGGTTTTGAAAAGCAGACGCAGTGCTCTGGATACAAATCCCCATCAAGTTTGCCTGCATCATCATTCCTCCACAAAAACTAATTCTACCACTCCAATCAAAATGGCCAGACAAAAGCATCAAACTAACTTATTCCCCCCTTGGACAGGAATGTCTCCTGAGCCAGAAAAGTATATTCCAAATAGCAGGCAAGGCAGAACTGGGTGTTTTAGTGAACACTCTTGGAAAAAAAACCTATTCATTTTCAAAACATCCAGCCCAGCCGACCAGTTGTGCATTTTGATAAGTGCCCTTGGTTGCATTGAACAATATCGTGTCAAATAGAATGCTTTAGCATTGAAATAACTGTTACCTGAGGATCCCAGAGCTCGCTTGCGACGCCCAGATCTTTACAACATCTCATTAACGCATTTGACTTGGCAGCCTCCATAGCTTTTCCATATACCATATTATTGGATGAATAAAACGTATGTTCGCCGACAGTTTGCGCCACAAATCTTCCCAAACAAAACAAGGCATACTCCCTTACAATCAACTGGCTGTTATCTCGGTCACTCTGCAATTCACAAAACCACTGTATTACACTCTTCCTTTAAGAATGTACATTTTCCATGTCCAGGTTGGATATTTCTATTTTTCTGCAAACTTCAGGATGTTTTAATTCCTGTATACATTCTCAGATTACAGAGTATTGTCCTTAAGTTACATACAACAGATGCAATCAGGAATTTCAATCCCTGTCGGCTAAAAAAAGACGGAAAGAAATACTATAAAATAAAAAAATGACGGTAATGACGGTTTCTTGGAACCATACTTAATAATAAAAAGAAGTTTAAAACATTACGTTATTTTAGTGTATTTTATGTTCTATCAACACGGAAAAAAAGTGGCCGAACACAGTTTGAAAGGTTGTGGATTGTACCATTCATTGGGTTAGGACTTGTGGCAGGTATAACCCACCAATGACATTACAAGTCTTCACAGCTAATAACATCATGGCTTAACCGACAGACAACCAATAACATCGCAACTTAACTGACCAATCAGGTCAATAAACAGAGTTAAATACCAGCAACAGACGTGATACAACTCACTTTGACTCTGAAGATGACTACTGCACAGATTTTCAAAAAGGTCAGTCACTGTCAACAACCGTCCTATTCAGGACTACATTCACCTTACCCTGCAAGCAGAGGCTACATTTTCGTGGTATGACCTGGCAAGGCTACTTTTTGCACGCCACTGCATACCACAAAAATATAGCTTCTGCTCGCAGGGTACGTTCACCCACACGATCATGCTCAACCTACCTATGAAATGACTCCTGGGTTCAAACTTTTCAGTTTTATAAAGCTTGAATTTGGCATGAACAAAAATTTTGTTCAATATATTTATAAGACACTACACTTATTAAGTCAAACATGAGATTTCCGTTATTGTCATGGCAACATGGATGATTGAAAACAAGCCAAAAATTTTAAATTTTGTTAGGTTTATGCAAAATCTAGGTATTCCTTTTTGGTGTAGAAGATACAACATTCAAAGATACAGACCTGAAACTGAAGAGATTCTCCTCTTGGAAGTAGAGCCCAGCCTCCTGGTCCAAATGCTTGATTAAGGATTCTCCTGTATTTTATTTCAGGTAAGTATATTAATCCTATGCAGGAAATAAAAGGTCATGTCAATCAAACCTAGTGGAATCCAAAAATATCAAGAACAACAGTTTATAATAAAAGTTGCTGCATACCATCAGGTTT